CCCACCCGCACGACACCGTGACGCACACTGATGGATGTAGGTAGCGAGGTAGGTAGCTGGATGGATGGATGGTTGAATGATTGATTGATTGATGATCAGGTGTATTCTTCCGCACACGACCGATCGGTCAATCGAAGTGTGTGTGGTGTGGTGTGGTGTGCTGGGTGTGATGGGGAGACAGACAGACAAGGGACGGCGAATGGAGGCGAGGCGCCACGCCATGGGTGTTTTCTGCTGCTCTGCATAGACGGACGGACGGACGGACGGAGGATACATACACACACGCATACACACATACATACGACATAGCTGCATGCACTCGTGTCCATCACATTACATTACATCCCATTACATCCCATCACATCCCATTACATTACATATATCCATAGACTGCATTGCATTGCATTGCGTACATAGAAAAAGACGAGAGAGACGGGGAAGCTTGGGGACTCAGCTCGTGTCGGCTGCCTTGTGTGGTGTGGTGTGATGTGGTGTGATGACATGGCGGTCAGGCAGGGATGCATGGGATGCAGGCAGGCAGGCAGGCAGGTAGGAAGGAATGCAAGCAGACAGAGAGGCAGGAGAGCGAGTGCTTCACACCCACACCCACACACACACCAGTTTTCCCCCCAGTTTTCGCGGCTTTCATCAGCGAGCGTAGCCAGCTGATGTCCACGTGTGTGTGTGTGTGTGTGTGTGTATGTGAGTGCGCGAGCGGCAGTCTTTTTCGATCCGGCGTGGCGACAGACAGACACACAGCGCCGCCCGCGCACACGGACACACACCGCCTGAACTCCATTGCGTGGTGTGTTGTTTTTCGATGCATGGAAGCACTCACTGACTCACTGACTGACTCATTCGCATGAATGGAGAAGGAGAATTCGCTCTTCCTGCGGGCGCAACTGACTCACACCCAGACAGAGAGGCCTTATTTGACTGGCGTCTCGTGTGCCCACGTGGTCCCTGTCGGACAGCACAGGGCGGGGACTGCTGGCGGAGCTGGCTGGGTCGCATCAACTGGTCGAGTCAGCCAGATTCGTCAGCAGTACGGCCTTGTGCTGTCTGAGAGTGACTCTCCCCTTCACCACACACGAGTGAAGAGGGAGACAGACAGCGAGACAGACAGACACTGGATGAGCACTGCACGAGCCATGATGGTGGGTATCCCACATACTCATGACCGGCATGGCCATCTCTGATCAGTATTTCGTCGACAGAAATGCTCATCAAGGGTGGCGGCGCCGGCGATGACATGTGAGTCGCCCCCAGGTACAACACAGACTGCCCGACACACACACACACCGCTTCACACACTTTTCCTTCCTTGTTTGCTTGTCACCATCGTCAGTCACTGCAGTCAGCACTATGATGTACGGCGCACACCCGGCTGACGTTTCTCCACACACCATTGTATGACACGCGACGCGCTTTTTTTCCACTGTTTCGGGGTGCGCGTTCAACCACCGCATTCATTCATTCACTCACCGATCGGTCGATCGTTGTCCCCTTTTTCCGCACATCCCATAACATAACACAACACAACACAAGACAGCGGCACACACCATACATACTACAGACGCGCATCCTGCCTGACTACCTGCCTACGTGTGGGTGTTTGTCTGCGTACCTGAGTGTTTCTCGATCCATTCCATTCGGAGGAGAGGGAGTGCTGCTGCTGTGGGCCGCCTTTTGTACAGTACCTACCTGCTTACATCATCGTGACGCACTCGGCCTGCCTGCCTGCCTGCCTGCCAGACGCGTGTGTGTTGCGTGCGGTGCGCAGCGAGTGCAGCCCCCCCTGTAATTTCTCCTGACTGTTTGCAGTATATCGCAAGCAAGGGGTGGGCGCCTTTGCCAATGTCTTTCGAACGGTTTTCCGGCAAAGAGGCTGCTGCTGCTGCTGCCACTGCTGCTGACAGCGTGAATGCACGAGTGGTGGACATGGCTGCATGGGATCTGCTGGGTGGAGGGTGCGCATGGTGTCTCAGTCAGTCGCTGGCTTTCAATTCACTCCCACACGACGAACATAACATGTCATCTGGATGGATGGATGAATGGATGGGGAGATGCTCGTGCTGGTTTGGTTGGTTGGTGCATGGACGCGATAAATGAGATGCCAACTTGACTGCATGGCTCAGTCATTGCATAGCTGCCGGACTGCCCACTCGCTGTCTCGCTCTCTCTCTCCGCTGTGCCTTTGAAGTGACCGACGGATGACTGAGTGGCTGGCTGGCTGATAGACTGCCTCTCTGCGTGCGTGGCTGCCTGAGCTTCACATGACAACCCCCAGGGTGCATACCAACCATACCGACCAATCTGCCTGACCGTCCATTTGTGGAGTGTTTGAGACTCGGGGTGGTGGGGTGGGGTGAGGTGGGGTGGGTGTCTATACATATCCGAGCGATGGATGTATGTGATGTACTCTTTCTTCTCTCTGGGGCAGACAGACAGATCGATATGATATGGTGTGTGTACTGTGTGTACATACTTGCATGCCTACATGCTGTGCCTACGTGTGTGTGTGTGTTAGTGTCCCTGTCTGTGTGTATGTGTGTGGGTGACGATGGATGAATGGACGGATGGCTTTTCCTTCATACCACCTCACTCACTGACTGACTGACTCACTGGGCGTCGCTCCTCATCCGCGTCCACCGCGCCCCAACCACACATATACACACATCCACGTAACTAACCTATATCTGGTGGCGACACACGACACACAATCACTCAGGGAGAGAGGGGGAGGGGAGGGGAGGGCAAGAGGGGGATGACGGCCTGCTCGGATGTATTCACTGCGTGTGTCGGGTCGCCTTAACCGGATTTTTACAGCGTACGTACTGATGACGTGACGTGGCGTGGGGGTGGGGGAGACGGGTGCATTGATTGTGTGGGCGCGACAATCTTTTTCCACTTGGTGAGAGGAGACATGGGTCGGTCGGTCGGTCGGTCGGTCGTCGTGGTCCAAACTTTCTGCGTATCTGTCTTGTATACGTGCTCGCGTCGTTCCCGTGCGTGATCGAAGTCACTCGTGCTTGCTTTCAATCGGTGGGCTGGCCGGCTGCCTTGGCTGTCGCGTGTGTTTACGTGGACGGATCGATATCCACTGCATGGTGCGTCTGGCGGTCGGTCGGTCGGTCGGAGGGTCGCTGGATGGACACACGAATGAGACATGCATTTTTAGTCCAATCACTCACCCCCCACTCTCTCCCTAGTCTGCCGTTTGCAGTTTGCAGTCGCGTGTCGTTTCCGAGAAAGGCCTTGCGTGTCGGGGGGGCCGGGGTGAAGTGAACGAAGGCTGGGGGAGAGAGGAAGTGTGGTGTCAGGGAGAGAGGGAGGGAAACAAGTGCTGGCTGATCATTTGCTGGGGCAGGGTGTCGGACGTCCGTTTTTCAAAGGGATGGCTTGGCTGGCACTGATGTTGGTAGGGGTGTATGTGTATGGGTGTATGTGTGTGTGTATGGTCTCCTTGATCATTCCTTCGTACATGGTCACTGTATGTATGACACTTCCTGGGGCGGACGGGACGCGCTTGTATTCGCTGCAGCCACCGCACGGCACGCACCCCAGCGACACCGCCATCCCTCCTTCCCTCTGACAGAGACAGACAGGCCGGCAGCGGCGTCTCCCTTTTCCTGTTTGCCCTGCCGGTCTGTTCAATCGATGTGTCGGATGGATGGATGGATGGGTGTGTCAGTCGGCTTCACGCCTGCCCGTGCCTGTGCGGTTGCCATACTTTTTCCGTACCGTAGAGAAGAGCAAGCTGGTAGACAGGATGGATGGGGCTATATGTGTGTGAGTGCGTGTATGGGTGTTTGTGCGGAAGGCCTGACGGATGGACAAAGGAGCGGAACATCGTTTAAGGCGTGAGCCCAGGTAGAGGACGTGTGTGTGCGGAGGCGGGGAACCTCACTCACACAAAGTGGGTACACAGCCGAGAGGCAGACAGACAGGCAGGCACGCTTCAAAAATGCGATCCATCCATCCATCCATCCACGCAGAGAATGAAACTTTCGTGTCCAACCAACCAGCCATCGACCTCGTACGTATCACCATGACAGATGTATGTGTGTGCAGGGGAGTCAGTCAATATATAAGAAGAGAGCGAGCGATGGCCCCAGCGTTGCAATGCACACTGGGGCGCCCACTCCGCAAACACCACACACCATACAGACATACGTACAGGGACAGGTAAAGTGGTCTGCTTGTTTAGTAAGGCAAAAATCAGTCGTCGAGGGTGGGATAGGATATGATACAGTCAAGTCGGAGACGCACAGCCATCCATCCAGCCACCCGCCCAGACATACAGCCATCCGATGCACTCGGTCAGCCAGCCAGCCAGCCGCGCCAGCCATGCGGTGCGTCGTCACGCTCTCACGCAAGTACGCACTCAAAAGTTTGTTCAAGGAAGCACGTTCACGCCACCACATCCATGCAGTCCACCGGGAGGCAGGCAGGCAGGCAGGTAAGCAGCCGGCGGCAAGAGCCGCCAGGCACCGCGCACACCCAGCTAAAAATGAGTATGGTGTATCGTTTCGTTCGTTCATCTCCCCACAGTCACACTCGCTCTCATAGGCACATGCAGTCACTAACCCAGATGGATGGATCGGTCAAACCACTATCATATGGCGAGGGAGGCAAGGAGGCCCATCCCCCCCGCCCTGCCCACGGGCGTAGCGACATGGCCATTAAGCAATCGTTCAAACTCGCTCGCCGCTCTGCGCCGCACCCCCCTGCACCACAGACACCACCACCAGCACACACATTTATTTATCCACCGTGTGTGTGTCTGTGTGTGCGTGTCCGTCTCCTCTCCCAGCCACCGCACCATATGTACCATATAATCAGCTGATGTGGTCTGGTCTGTCTAGTGATACTCTCCACCTCCGAGTGTGTTCTCGGCGGAGTATTCCATGTAGAGGAAGCCGTCGTCGTCCTTGTGCTGCTCGTATATCTCGCTGATGAGGGCGCCGGCCTTGGGGACCATGTTGTTGACGAACAGGTAGATGGTCTTCTCGGCAGGGAAGTTGGAGCCGCGGTTGTCGCTGCACTGGTTGATGTGCTTGTGGATGATGTACTTGAACTCACCCACCAGCATGTTCACCGGAACCAGAAACCTGGCAGGCAGGCAGGCAGGCAGGCAGGCACACACACACACACACACACACCCCAAGATAAAGACAAACCATCACGTCCCGTCGTCGGTGTCATGTGTGTGGCCACCTGCCCTCCCCCTCTCTCTTGCTGCCTGTGGGTGGGGCGACATGAATGAGTGCTGCAGCTACCTCTCCCTGGTCTGCCCTCCCTCCCTCCCCCCTCCTCTCTGTGTGGGTGTGCAGTGCGGTTTTGGCACATACTTCTTCTTGTCAATCTGCGGCAGGTCTGACCGTACGGCCTTCTCGCAGATGACGGGGATCCTGTTGGGGTACTTGGCGCGGATGTGGTGCGCCTCCTCAGTGCGCTTCTCTGAACAATCCACACACAGACATAAGAAACCACGTCAGTCACATCATGGGCGACCGACATCCGTGCAAGAGAGCAGAGGCACATTCACGCGACTCTCTCCCTCCCTCTCTCTCTGCCCCTGCCCCTGTGGCCTGTCATGGTGGTGGCTCACTTACCGAAGGGCACCTTCTCGCGGAGGGACATCGTGGCCATCACAGAGGGACGAGGGCTACGCGACGACGCGAGAGAGTGAATGCGATCTGTGTTTCGGGCGAGGGCAACGACCACAGCTGCACGGGGGGTTCGAATGTCCCGATTTGCTGCCACACGCAGTTTTCCTTCCTCCGGCTCGCAACTCGCCCGGTCGCAGCTCGCATTTTTCCTGGGATCAACGAGAAGGTCGTGCGGTCGTGCGCAGTCGGCAGTGGCCTCCTGCGGTGTTCGACAATCGAAGCCATCGATTTCATCCATAGCATTGGCATGAGTGTGGAGTTGATCCGTCCGGCAGGAGCGTAGAGGGCGAGATGGGCAACAACCACACTGCGAACCGCCATGGTGCCGTTATCGACGAACACACACTCGACTTCCTCCACAAGAACGACAGAGATGCCCTCCACACGTATGCAAACCACACACGAATCAATGAGGGAGGGCGAGCGGCAGTTGACAGCTGAGTGTGTGTGTGTGGGGGGGGGGGGGGG